TCCACCGAAAACAAGACGACATATATCTTAATCTTATTAACTACTTTTCTCAAAATTAATAATTTAATCTAAAATATATCTTACTTATTTAATAACAAATATAACAATTAAATTAATTTAAAAAAAAACTTATTTTAAATTCGTTAGATATAATAGTATTAATTTTAATACAAGTTTTAATGCTAAGTCTTACTCTTCAATTAAGGAGGCTCTGAATTTCATTGGAAAAAAAACCCAATTGACCAATCGTTGGACGAGTTCGAATTTTACTTGTTTTAAAATGTCGGGGTGCAGGAAGGGATAAGGACTTGGATTGGTAATGTAATAATAATATCATAAATATTTTATATTCATATAAAGAAAAAATATTAAACATTATATATATATATATATATTTAATATAAATATAATAAATTAAAATATATAAACTTAATTAATAATAATAATAATAATAATTAAATATTATAAAATTATAAATATTTATTTTTTATAAAAAATATTAAAATAAATTTATTATATATAATTATTTTTTAAAAATAATATGAAACGGGAAGGATGGAGAAAACCACAACCAACAAAGACAAAAATCAGAAACGGATCAACGATTCAAAAAGTCAGAAACGAGATTGAGCCGCCCAACTCGTTGCTGTGCCTATTTCCGTGACACATAATTCACGCGAGAGGATTCCAATTTGTAAAGCTCAACATGATTTGGGTTTCAATTTTTTTCTTCCATTCATATATATATATATATAATAGAGAGTAAAAAGCGAGAAACGTAATTATAACTGATTAACATATATAACAATGCGAAAGGAAGAGGAAGACCGAGAACTTAAATAATGAAGGAATTAGATAAGGAAGATAGAATTTAAGGTTCTAGGAAAACTTAAATTTTACTTAAACAACAAACTCTTTTATAGTTTTAAAAGTTTCACTATTTAAGATTATAACGAGTGACCGACAAAAAAAATAATTATAATTGACATGTCTTTTATTTTTTGCGACCGACGCTAAAAATAAAACAGAATAGTTATAAGTGCTTTGTTTTTCAACTGAGTAGGACCCAAACATCTTTTTGGACGAATGATCAGATAAGTCCAACTGTTTACTTGACTACTCTATTATGAGGTGTGAGACCATAACATCTGTTGGGCGAAGGGTCAAATAAGTCCAACTTCTTACTAAGATGTTGTTTAGAATGTGGGCTCTTGAATATTCTCATAATTTGATTAATCTTCCTTTGTAATGTTTCTTTGGTTGATATTCTTTGCATAATATCAGTAATCTTCTTCTTTAATTCTTTTGAAGTTAATTGCTAAAATTAAGCAAAATCAATATATTTTTCGTCTTCATAAGGATCTTGAGCATCTTGTAGGTTAATAATGACTTCATTTTCTTCTTCTTTATGTGAACGTAGTGAGGACAATACTTCAAGCATTTTTGTTTTAATTGAGCCTTTTCTTCTTTTGATACAAGAAGTTTGGATAAATCTATAATGACTTTTCCTTTTTCTTTTGTAGATGAAATTTCTTTTTGGATTGGACTTTTTTGTATAATAAGGCTCATTTTCTTCCAATTTTCAAATTTTTCTTCTACGTAGGTTTCAAATTTTTTCCACAAAAAAACTTTTGTTTTTAAGTAGAGACTTTTAAGGTAGGTTTCTTTTTTGTGTTGATGGATTCCGGGAAAGTGGGCCAAAAGCTAGCTTACTCCCATGATCGAGCAAAATTTTATAATTCTTAGGTGTGGAGGATAATGGGGAGTAAGACTTTTATATTTTTGGTACATTTTCATAATTTTTTCTGGAATTATAGATTGGATTAGGCCTATTTGGTGAAACCAATCGACAAACCAATTGGGTAGGGTGTTGGGTATTCCTTTTTTTAAAACAGATATACCATGAATGCCTAGAGTTGGTATCAAATAGTATTTTATTTCAGACTTCTTGGTAGTCAAAGTAATTATAGGAAGGGGGTCAAAGGGCCTCGAAAAGTTCTTATCAGTGAAAGAGTGTTTATTCCATTCTTGGTATGAAAGGATTTTAATAATACGTAATTTTGAGTAACTAATAATAGAGAGATCTCTATCATTAGGAATATAGGTTATTTTTGCAGATCCAGTGTCTATTAGGATAAATTGGTAAAACTTTTTATTCTTTTTCAAATTTTCTGATTTAGGAATCCAACTTCATCCTGGCGGAGCTAATTTCCTGAGTATTCCGTGAACATCTTCGGGATTCCAGTCTTCTTCTAAAGTGATAATCTTTTGACATCCTTCTTTGATATGAAATTCTTTTTTGGGAGTTTTTTCAGGGGGAGGATGTTGAGGGATTTGTGGTGTTAGAGGGGTAAATCTATTAGGTTGGGTGATTATTGTGGTGGGAAGTTTTCGAGTGGTCATGATTTTTGAATATGATGGGACAAAGTCGTCTAAGGACAAGGTAGAGGACTTTGAGCCTTTTTTTGTTTTTCCTTTTTCAGCCAGATCTGAGTTTTTAGAGGGGGTTGCCATGGGTGTGACCCTACAAAAATTCTCTTGTTAGGAAGTCTGCTATCGAAATTTCTTTTCCTTTAATAAATTCTATGTCAAATTCAAAACATGATAATAAACTTTGCTATCTTACAAGTATTTGTTTGAAAACTATGTTTTTTACATCCTTTTCTAAAACATTTTTTTCAGATTTACAATCAATTCTTAATAAAAAAAAATTGTTTATTAAATCATGTTGAAATTTTTGTATATTTAAAACTATACTTAAATTTTTTTTTAATCGTGTTATAATTCTTTTAAGCATCATTCCATATTCCTGATCGATATCTTACTATTTGTTCGGGGTTATTTTTTAACTTTTGTTTTAGTATACTCCCGTATCCTATATCGAAACATCTGTTTCTATAATTATCTTAGCTTCGAGTTTGGTATTCTTAGACATGGTAAGGACTTAACCAATCCTTTAACCTCTATTACTATTTTAGTCATCTCTGAAGTCCATGGTTTGTGATTTTTTCTTAGTCTATTAAAAAGGGGTTTACATAATATTCGGATATTAGGTATAAATTCTGATACATAGTTTAAACATCCTAAGAATCTTTGTAATTGAAGTTTATCTTTTATTTCATTAAGAAATTTTTCTAAAAATTCAATACTTCTTTTAATGGGGGTTATAGTTCCTCGATTTATTTCATGGCCTAAAAATCTTATTTGTGTTTGGGCTAGTTTTATTTTCTTTTGTGATATTACCATTCCATTTGTTTTTATGACATTTTTAAATATTCTTAAATGTTTTTATGTTCTTGGATTGATTCAGAAAATATTAAGACATCATCAATATAAACAATGACGAATTTTGAGTAAGGGTTTAATATGTCATACATTATTTTTTTAAATTCAGAAGACGCATTTTTTAAACACATAGGCATTACGTTCCATTCATATTGCCCGAAAGGTACTATAAAGACAGTTTTATATTTGTCTTGTTCTTTTAATTTAATTTGATAGTATCCGCTTTTCATATCAAAATTAGAAAATATAGTGGCATTATAAATTCTACTTATTAGTTCAGCTTTATTAGGCGACAGATACCTAATGCATTTTAAGACCTTATTTAAAGGCTTATAATTTATTACCATTATTGGTTCTCATCTTTCTATTTCGGAGGCATTTTGCACATAAAAGGCAGCACAACTTCATGGAAATTTACTAGGTCTAAAAATGTTTTTTATCTAAAAAAGATTTTATTTATTTTCTACAATATTCTAATGTTTCTTTATTTAATTGTACAAGTCTTGCTTTGATAGGAATATTCTTTTCCGAAAATCCCTTGTTATGGTAATTTTATTGAATTATTATTATTATTATTATTATTATTATTATTATTATTATTATTATTATTATTATTATATATATATATATATATATATATATATATATATATATATAGCTTTGAGGCTAGATCATATTTAGGAATATATACATTGCATACATGTTCTTAATGAATGAATTATTATAATAATTAAATTAAAAATATACAATTTATTGAAAATAATTTAGTTCTTATTTTACTTATCATCTGTGTTTTTTATTATCACTTAAAAGAGCAAATGTGAAACAATAAAATCATAGAAGACATTTAAATGAATTTGGGAAAGGACAGCATTAGATGGTGAAGCATGTCCCACTTAAAAGGTGTGAAAGAAAAAATTCAATAAATAAGTTATTGCAAGTGAAATGTACTCTGCTAGATTAAGTCATGTCAATAAACATATTGGACGAATTTCTTGGATAAATTCTAAAATAGAAAATAAGAAAAAAATGAAATTGATTTTTCCATTAAATTTAGTTTATACATTAGTTCATTATGAAAGCACTGCACATGATAAGGACCTTCATTTCTAGCCATGAAAAAGCCACTCCACCAGCCCCTTGTTTTACACAGTACCACACTTCCTAAATTATCAAATAACTAGCAAGAATCGTGGGATTAGAATGATCTTTTATCATTTTATTATCACACATCAGTAATGCACTCCATGCAAAGAAGAAAAATGTAATAAATGAACAAAATGGCATTCATCTAAAGCTAAGTATTCTTCTCTAGTTTCATCATCATCATCACTCAACGCATACTTTCATTAACTTAAAGGGTTTGAATTATTGCACCATTGTTATTCCTAGGAACGTAAATAAAGAACATTATACCATAAACTACATTTAAGATTGCATTTTGGTGGACAGTGTAAAACAAATACCAAAACTGTAATATTTGAAATTGTATATAAAAATAAAGTTTCATATCACTGAATTGCTTCATAAAATGAGTAGGATTTTAATGCAAGATTTATTTATGAGCTAAATTCTCCAATAAACTCATTACTTAATCCACTCAATAACGAGTATGGGTGAATACAATTTTTATTTAATAACCCACTACGCTTGTTATAACTCTAACACTAACACAAGTCAAATTCATCAGCAACAATAGATTGTGCTTGATGAATTCATGCGTATTTGGCGGCTATTTGCAGCAGAGAATTGCATAGTTCTTGTGGCTTGCTAAACATGGGCATATGATCCGCACCTTTGATCTCTAGAACGTCATTGATGGCAGCATTTTGAATCATCCAGAGTTGAAAACTCAGTGAAATTGTAAGGTCCTCAGTGCAAACGATATAAGCAAGAGGAACTGATCCATATCCCTGTTTGGAGAAGTTTTCGAGCTGCGACAAGTCTTCGCCAAAGAGGGACGCTGGCCTTAACAAACTCTTCGCCAATTCTAGATCCTGCAATCCAACCCTTATTTTTATTTTACAATAATATTTCAAATTTCAAACTTTGACGAAGTTCGAGCATGTCGATCATCGTTCTCGACATGCATTATTACTCTTCCTCTCTGTGTTTATCAAGCCCAAGCATGTCATTTTTTTTTGCACTCATTGCTTTCTTTCAAGTGTGCTCGAGTGTATTGAGTGAGAGGAGTGTTCGTAAATTTTATAGAGTTAAACAGCTTTCATGTTGAATAATGAAATGACCCATAAAATTTCATTAACTTTCTTATTTTGGATTTCACCATAATATATTTGATGCATCATTTTCTGCTTTCTGTTATTTATTCGTGAAGTTAAATTTTCATGCATAATATTTATTTATTTATTTTGCAACTTATTTTTTCTAAGTGAATTCCATTTCATGCATAATATCTTATATTTTTTTTATTACTTTAATAGATGCCAAGTAAATATATACTATTAGTCCTTAAATTCTTAATTAGAAGGAAACACAAAATATTATTGAAAAGGTAATTTTTGTTTATTTCAATCACATTAAATAAATAAGAATTTTTTTTCTAAAGTTGAAAATGGTGAGCACTATTTATCGAAAGTGAATAAAGATTATAGTTTATTTACAATTAATTAAAAATATTTGGTAAATTTTAAATGTTTTTAAAATTTACTACAGTAATTTATGTATTTTACTATAATTCCAGTTATTAATTTTTAATTAAATATTATAGTAATAAAAAATATTGGCCATGTATATGATAACCATGTAGTAATTTTAATGTTTATCTATAATTTTAATTAATAATTATACTAAAAATGTTGAAAAAAAGTTAAAAAGTATTGTAGTTGAAGTTGAAAATAAAAAAATAAAAAAAAATAAGAGAAATACGTATAATGTATGAAAATTTACCTTCAAATATTAAAAAAAAACATGAAAAAAATGGATGCATTTAATATAATAGTATCTATATTAATGGTGGAATCTGGGATAAAAAAATGTTTAAATTCTATTGAATAGAATTATTTAAATCCAATTTTACTTGAAGTTAGACAAATCCCTTAAAAAGATTTGGATTTAGTCCATCTTTAAATAAAATTCATGCTTTTTAATGTCAAAAGAACTCCCACATATTCTTTAAAGTTATCGTAGAGGAACTTTTCATATTTATCGACTAGGAGTATATGCATAAGATCTAAGTGTTAGGTTAAACTGTAATTGAATATGATATTCATTCTAATGATCAAACATATATCTATAATCCCATACTGTAAACATGTTATAAACTAAATGCGAAAGCGTACCTGAATTGGCCATAATGACGATATTCTTTGTAGAACACTTTTGATTTAATCTTAAGGTCTTCCACCTGAAGAGCACCTGTATTTTCCTCTTGATTTTCTTTCTTGATGGGGATAGAAAGAAAGGAACGAGACTGTAACTACGTTCTGTCTGTGTGCTCTCAGAAGGGGACCATGACCCTTTATATAACCAAAATTAGGTTAATTACTTAAGTTTTAGTATTTTCAATTTGGCCCCTCATCAAATTAGAAATTACTCTATGGTCTCTACACAATCATATTTTCATGACATATGCCTTTAGCCAAAACTTTAATTTATTTAGATCACTTTATTATTTGGCTTAATAAATAATGACCCTAACACATTTAAATATGTATCATATATATACATGACCCAAAATTTGCCAACAATCTCCCACTGGTCACAAATATATATGTCTTTACAACCTTACAAATGTGTTAGACTTTATGAGCTCAAAATTGTCATTATATTCCTTTAGCATATTCCAAAAGTCCTGTCCATTAATCATATCAGGATATAGAACCAAGCCAGCTTTTCATTGCATCATCGCAACTAAAACCAACAAGATTACTCATCCTGACATAACCAAATGACATGGATTCATCATGAAATGTGTAGCATGAAAAATTACGTGAAGGTGATCTGTACACGTCTATTTTCAGCTGGTCCAAACTTTAACTTATCAAGATCGATACAATAACCTTAATGTACAAAGTGTAATGAATGAACAAGAAAACCGCATATCTATAGATAACCAAATATGTCCAAAAAATAATGTATACATATATAAAATTAAACATAGAACATAAAATATATGAAAATGACTAACTCCCACTAAACCACAAATTCCTCAAACTGTAAAACACCCATGTGAGCAACATGCTCATGAAAGACCTTAGGCGGAAATCCTTTAGTTAGAGGATATGCTATCATGGAGTTTGTCCTTAAGTGTTCTATGGAAATCTGTCCACTTTGTACTCTTTCCTTAACGATACAGCTGATTTATTGTCACAATATAACTTAAGTGGTCTTTCAATGCCTTTCACAATTTGCAGCCCTGTGACAAAATTTCTCAGCCATATTCCATGATTTGATGCCTCATAGCATGCTACAAATTATTGACATCCTGCAAAATCTGAGTCAGAAAACCCAACGATCTCCAACTGGTCTGACCTCCTGTATGTGAGCATATAATCTTTTGTTCTTTTTTAAATATCTTATGACCCTTTTTTTTTGCTGCTTTCCAATGGTCTATTCCTGAATTGCTTAAATATCTGCCTAGAACCTCAACTATGTATGTTATGTCTGGACGCGTACATACTTGGGCATACATCAAACTCCCTACAGCTGATGCATAGGGAATCTTTTGCATTTCCTCAATTTCCAAATTTCCCTTTGGGCACTAATTTAGGCTAAACTTGTCTCCCTTAGTAACTGGAGTATTCCCGGCTCATGACGCACAGGTTCTTGAGGATCTTGAGTTTGGTCTTGACGAACAATCAAATCATCTTGAATATGAGGTTTATCATCAATGTCTTGTGGAGGTTCCTGTCGCCGCCTCCCAAAAGGGGGACGGTCGGAGCGACGCGATGGTTATTTCGACCCTCTTTGATTTTCGCGTTTTTTATTGGTGGTTACAACGTCCTTAGGTTGTCCGATAACCGGGCTAACCTAGAGACGAGGTTTTCGAAAAGTGTCCTTGAGTTGTCCGATAACCGGCCTAACCCAAGGACTTATTTATTTTGGGTTCTATGGAGTCGCCACCGATGTTTTTACCGGAAACATCGGAAAAAGGGTTTTAAAAGGCGTTGGTTTTCGAAAACCAACTTTGGTCATTAGAACCAGAGTTGGGTAAGGGAGTTGGTTACGTGCAAAGGGAGTATTAGTCCCTTTACGACGCCCCTTTCGGGTTCCCTATGACAGGCCGGCTTATTTTATTGATAAACTAGAAAAATACACTTTCGCCCTTTTTTATTCTGCGGAATTTAAAAGTATGACTACATGGCCCTAATATCTATTGCATAATTTAAGATAAAAACGGTAAAGGTGAAGGGAAAGAATTTGAACCTTCGAAGCACGCTTTTTATATTAACTCTCTAAAAAATAGGGTGCTTTATGGCAGCCCTTCACTCTACAAGACGTCGGAAAACCTCTCGAACGCCGAAAATCACTCTTGAAAGCACTCAGAAACTCCGGAAATGCGTCGGAGGGATTCTAGAGAGAAGTTTTTAGAGAGAAGGGAGAGCTATGCAGCTGTGGTGTGTGGAAATGAGGGGGGGAGAGCCCCTATTTATAGGTTTTCGCGCTGTCAGGTGGCGAGACCGCCGTTCTCGTCTGACAGGGTCGAGACCGCCGTCTCGACCTGTCAAAATGGCGAGAACGCCGTCTGGGTGAACGAGACCGTCGTCTCGTTCTTCGTAGGTGACGAGACCGCCGTGTCGTTAAGCGAAACGGCGGTCTCGTTTTCTACGTGAGACGAGACGGCGGTCTGAGTTGTCCAGACGGCGGTCTCGTTCCTTCGACGCGAGAAAACTTATTTTTTGGTACAGAAACTCCCTCATATCCTAGCATGGGGCCTAATAGTCTCTCCTAATGGCTTGTTAGGCTTGTCCATCTTCAAATAAGAGGTCTTCTGGTCTTTATTTGGAGGCCGGACAAGATTTGGGGTCTACAGTTCCAAACTTACTTTATCAAAAGTAACTGTTTGAATCGGTTCTGGATTTATTGTCGATTCTTTCTCCAATACAAAATTCTTAATCTTATTCTTCCCCCCAAACTCAATATCCTCAAAGAACATAGCAGTTCCCGTCTCAAAAATTGTCTTTAATGTGGGATCATAAAATTTATATCCCCTGGCTCTCTCAGAATAACCAATGAAGTAACTACTTACTGTTCGGGAGTCCAATTTTAGTTTAATACCACGAGATTCTGTATTAAGAGTTGCATTATAGGTGGTCATAGTATCAAGTAAATATAGATTATCATTATCCAAAAAATGAACCAGTTATAACAATATCTAAATTAAAAGACAAACTGAACTTATTGTTTCCAAATGAACACAAATAACTGTAGACCCCTAATTTTGCCCGGCCTCTCAAATAAAAGCTAGGGAAACTTCATACAGTTCACCCGGCTTCATATCAAAGAAAAACCAAGAAGGACCTCCCACAACAGAAGACGGAGTTCACCCATTCACACGATAAAAGCCAAAAGAGACTTCCTACACAAAGACAAAGCTCGCCCGGCATCTTAATGAAGGCCAAGAAGGCTTCCTATATGAAGATAAAGCTTCAACGGACGCACATCGGCATCAATCTATGTCCGAAAAAGGAAAGGAAAGCTTCCCGGGGTCCCAGAACACGAAAACTGGACAAAACAAGCCGGGACCACGGTCCCAAAAGTGGGACGGCCGTCCCAACTGCAATTAAGCAGTTGGGACGCGCGTCCCGAATGTGGGACGGCCGTCCCAAACCCAGTTTAAGTGGGACGGCCGTCCCGACCTTCCTGGGGGTCCCGTTCTGTGTAAATTTGCCATTTGGGACGGCCATCCCAGTCCAGACGGCCGTCCCAACCCAGACGGCCGTCCCAAAGTGCGCCAGCTGCGAAAAACTATAAATAGGAGCCTCATTTGCTCATTTTGGACACCACAGACACTGAAGAGAGCTCTGAAACACTTTAGAGCACTTGTCTACTTCTCTCTCTCTCTCGAATGATCTTTCCGATTGCCTTAAATAGGTAACAATCGGTTAAGGAATTATATTCCGGCATTTGATTCTTCTTTAAATTTTTAGTAGAGTCGATCTTGTATTGGTGAGGAGAGGCTGTGTAGAGAGAGGGTTGCCAAAACGCATCCTCACGGTTCGAGGTTCTCAATATAAAGCTTGCTACGGAGGTTCTTTTCAATTCCCTTCTCTTTTATTGTTTTATTTATTATTGTTTTATTTAGCTTTATTATGTCATGTAGAATAGGATCATGTAGATAGCTATTTTAATATCTCTTTTATTGCTTTATTTAGCTTTATTCATCATTTTATACACGCAACATAGAATAAAATCATGTAGACAACCATTTAATATTATGTAATAAAATAGGGTAATCGCGTAATTTCTCGTAGTCTTTATTTAAATGAATTAATCTGTCATAGGGAACCCGAAAGGGGCGTTGTGGGGTGCTAACACCTTCCCCACATGTAACTAACTCCCTTACCCAACTCTGGTTATAATGGCCAAGTGCGGTTTTTCTTAAAATCAACATTTTTTCCTTTTCCAATGTTTATGGTCAAAACATTGGTGGCGACTCCATAAGAACCCCTTTTCGAAAACCTTTTAAAACAAAAACGCGAGTCTAAACCATCTTTTCGCGACCGCTCGCATAAACGTTTCAAAGACGTCCCCCCCCCGGACGTCGGAAAGGGACGGCGGCGACAATAACCTAATTTGTCCAAATAAGAAACTGAAACCAAATTCCGTTTAAAAGACGGCACGACAAAAAATGTCTTTTAAATCTAAAATAAAAAACTAGTACACAATAATAATCTAAAATGTTCAATAGTCTCCATCTCCACCAATTTGTCATTTTCAACGTATATTCATCTTTCAGAATTAGTTGACTTCCGGTAGTTTATGCAACCCTTTCTTTTCACGCCAAACATGATATTTAGCACATTTCTTCTTTACGTGTCCAGTCTTATTGCAAAAGAAACATTTATTTTCTTGAGTTTGTTTCTTTTGTTCTGGACCTTTAGCAGCTTCCTTCTTGGGATCATCCGATCTCTTTCTTTTGCCTTTAGCCTTAAAGGTGCTTGCAAAATGAGCACTTTCTGTCTTGTCCTGCTTTAGCCTTTCTTCTTCTTGTACACAATGTGAAATGAGTTCATTAAGAGACCATTTATCCTTCTGACAGTTGTAAGATACCTTAAACCGATTAAACGTTACGGGAAGAGAAATCAACACCAAATGAATGAGCAAGTCTTCTGAGAGTTCGAGCTTTAGTGCCTTGAGTTTAAAAACAATATTAGACATGCTCATAATGTACTCCCTGATATTTCCTTTGCCCTGATATTTCATGGAGATCAAGTTCTGAAGAAGAGTGCTTGCCTCCGCCTTATCACTTTTTGCAAAGCGCTGCTCAATTTCAGCAAGGAACTCTTTGGCACTTGTGATGCTTGCGCTTAATGATCATTAGACTCATGCGATTTGAGCGATCCCACTTTTCATAATCTCTTTTACGTTCGGAGGTACTTGAACCCGTAGGAACAGGGGTTGCTCGATCCTTAACGCAAGATCCATATCCATGCGGCCAAGAATAATATCAATGTTCTCTTTCCGAGTCCTTAAAATTTGTTCCATTGAGGACCGAAACGGAATTTAAATTGGCGGATACGAGAAGCAATTGTAAGTTGGATTAGAACAAAAGAAATAAACTAATTATGCTCACATTATAAAATTAAATAATTATAAATAAAATATATATTCAAATAATGGTTTAACCCATCTCAAGACACCCAATGCACCATCAATATCAAGTCTTTGGACGATAATATTAACTGCTAGAGGTATATTGTTGTAATAATCAAACATTGACAATAAAACACGTCCAACAACAAACCAGTCTTTGGATTGATTTATCATCGACAAAGTAAATCCTTATAATTATCATATGTTTATCATTACAGGTGTGTATGTAATTCGGCCAAATATTAATCTTCCTTTGGGCCGACTAGTACTCGCATGAATATACACAAACACTAACATTCAATATTTTTCATGAACTACCCAATTCAAGAGAGGTTACTTTGGTAACTTCTTGACTCAATTTGCTCACAAAAAATATTAAACTACCAAAAAATTAAAATTGAATATTTTATTTATATAAACAAAACTAAATATTAAACCACCAAGATGTTAGGACCTTCCCTAAAAACAACTCCGAAGTCACTCTCTTGCTTGAGGGTTATTAGCGAGTCTGCGCACGACTAATTGGTTGCATTCCAATTCTTCACCTTCCAACCAATTTACGTACCCACATTGCAGTCTTCAAAATGTTCTTTCCACCTTCTGAATTAGCCATAAATGACATCCAAAGCAAGCATTGCCCATGGAAGATAGAAGGCCTTAAGAGCAATAGGCCCATATACATAGATTTGGGCTTCAAAAAATCTCTACTCCAAACATAAAGGAGCATAGAAACAAGCGGTAGACGTGAACCATCACCGCTGCAGAATGCATTATGGGCCGAAGACGAACCCATAATAACAGTTCACGTGACAACATCTTTATTCAGGCATTTCCTCGAACACCTTCCTCTCTCGTCGCCAATTGTTCCGGGGTAGCAACAGTTACGTGACCATTCATGGCCAAAACAATGACATAAAAGCAATAACAGCGGAGGGCAGTTGACGCTTCTCCATCACTCCATTTTTCACCATATAGCAATCTAATGAGTGAATAAGAATAACTTGGACCAAATGCCATGAAAACAAGGTCAATCAACAAAACTAACTTAAGGGATTCCATCAAGCCATTTCCCAATATCTTGCTTTTTCCTGCATATTGTCCTGAAGTAGACCTTGCAAATGTTGCATATGAACTTTCTTCAAAAGGTAAGAAGACAAGTCTCACCACTAAGCTACCCAATTTTTCCATTCCAATTTTCTTGATGATTAGTAAATACATTGTCAAGCACCGTAACAGAGTGGCTATAGTCTCAACCATCAGCTTTAATTTGAGTAAGACCATGCTCTATGACATAATATAAACAGGCTCAGCCAAGAGCTCCAAAATACATGCAAAACCTTATGGTGCCATTTTGAACTGCTCTTAACACAAACCGGCCCAAGAATTGGCCCCAATCACAAATCCCCATGTGGTGCATTTTGAATTGTCCCCGGGGTCCAAAGACCCTCCAAATTGTAGTAAGCTCTAGCCTTTTCATCAAGTGCGTGAACTATGACTTTGCCAGAGTCAATGACGATCCACTTTCCTTCAGCTTGCCCTTGCACACTCGGTAACATCATTCGGCCAGCTCCTCTCTGTTTCTGTTTAGCCTTGTAAATTAGGGCTTGGGCGATGTTCTTGACGTGTCAGGTGGACCTTCTCGATGTCCGGCAGTTCCAGAAAGCATTTACGGCCGTCGACGGATGACGAAGAACAAAACCCTACCGTCTTCTTCCATGGTTGATGAAGAAGAAGGGCCTCGGAATATCATAGACACGTTCGTGTTCGGAGAAGTCCCCACATTCGAGTTCCACTCTCAAATCAAAAGTAGGTTTTAAGATTGGGGATTTTACCCCAAATTTAAATTTAGGGTTCGCAAAATTTGGAGATTATTCTCCACGTGAATTCTTAAATCTCAATTTACAAATGCAAACATGAATCAGTATGGGTTGCTCTGATACCAATTGTTAGGTTAAACTGTAATTGAATATGATATTCATTCTAATGATCAAACATATATCTATAATCTCATACTGTAAACATGTTATAAACTAAATGCGAAAGCGTACCTGAATTGGCCATAATGACGATATTCTTTGTAGAGCACTTTTGATTTGATCTTAAGGTCTTCCACCTGAAGAACACCTGTATTTCCCTCTTGATTTTCTTTCTTGATGGGGATAGAAAGAAAGGAACGGGACTATAACTACGTTCTTTCTGTGTGCTCTCAGAAGGGGAGCATGACCCTTTATATAACCAAAATTAGGTTAATTACTTACGTTTTAGTATTTTCAATTTGGCCCCTCATCAAATTAGAAATTACTCTATGATCTCTACAAAATCATATTTTCATGACATATGCCTTTAGCCAAAATTTTAATTTATTTAGATCACTTTATTATTTGGCTTAATAAATAATGACCCTAACACATTTAAATATGTATCATATATATACATGACCCAAAATTTGCCAACACTAATAACATGTAGAACTAGTTTATTCTCTCCAAAAATTCATGTATTTTTTAGTTAGAAGAAAATAAGATATAGAAACTAAAACCTTTTTAATTTTTTTTCCTTATAATGTATATTTATTGCAGTATGTAATTACCTCGGTGGGGAGACTCGGTAGACTTTCTCGGACAAGAATTTGGGACCGAAAACAAAAGCCGTTTTGTTTTCACCGTCAGATGATTCATTGTCCAACGAATTTCCCGCTGGGTAAGTCTCATAGTACTGTTGAAGTAAAAAAATGGCAAGGATAATTAGTTTGTTTTGAAAAAAAAAAGGAATTTATTTACTAATAGTTTTATTAAATATTTCCTCCATTGATATAGGTCTGGTTCAATAAAAATTAAATTATTAATATAAACTATTAGTCGATATTGACAAAATAATATACTATATAATATTACCAAATAATTTTGTTAATATATAAAACTTTGATATACAGTAGTATACTTTACTATTATTAAAAATTCACAATAAAGTAAATTATTTTTTATTAAGCATATTAGAGTATATTTTCTAATAACCTGAGCAAATGAGTTGTTAGTTTAAATAAAAAAAAAAAAAAAAACTCTAACCCCGTTGTAAATTGATGAGTTTTCATCAGTCTTTTTTATTTGAGTGTGTATTTTGTGATGAAAAATTGACATTTAATTTTAGAGAAAGATGAATTGGCATTTAAAATTTTTAAATCTTTAATAGATAATTTTAAAATAATATTTTTTTAATTGATGAAAAAGTTGTAAAATAAAATAGATACATAATAATATACAAATGTAAAAATTGTTTGTTAAGTGGATATTTGATAAATGTAATTTTATACGAAGAGGATGAGAAATAAAGAAACCTTTTCTAAGACATAGGATGGCTTGTGATTAATGTCTGGAGTGAAAGCTGTTAAGAAAACACCGACAGCAACTTTTTCTGGGAATTGGTCCATGGCAAGTGCTATGTTGAATCCCCCAAGGCTGTGACCCACTAGAATCACCTTTTCATTTGGGGGAATTGTTGCCAATAGCTGCAACAAAGGCTCCGAATACTGTGAGAAAGTATCAACATCTTCTATCTTCTGCAAGTTGATGCCAGAAGCTGCAAGGTCCAGCACTGTGACCCTGTGGCCTGCAAATTCCAAGTGTGGTTTGAGCTTGTACCAACACCAAGCTCCATGACATGCCCCATGCACCAGAACAAAATGCTTCCTTTCTATATTATTTTCTGAACCCACCATGATGTTAATTTACTTCTTGTGGTTGCTGCTACTTCATGTCATTCTTTCTCCTCTCTCTACACATATAACAACAAAAACCTGCTGGCGGGGTTTCGCGTCTTGTTCAGGGCACGTTGATGCTTAAGGACAGAACCATTTTTAATTTTTAACAATAATTTTTTTTCTTAGAAATTTGTTTAGCAATATTATCTTAACCTCAATATACATTACTTTGAATTTAGTAATAATTAAGTAAGTTTAAATAAATAGGATGAATTTTTATGACATAAAAATATGCTTTAGAATTTATGTGTTTAGTTTCGACATGAATCCTCTAAACTTATGTTAAAATATCAAAAAGTAATTATATATTCGGTTCTATGACGAAGGAGTTGTTTTATGTTTAGAATTTATTTAAAATTAAAACAATTTAAAGTATGCAATTATATATATATATATATATATATATATATATATATATAAATTTTAAGTTAAATATACTTTCAGTCTCTGTAAGATTAGCAAAGTTTGAGTCTTATATTTTAAAAAAAATCTCAAAAAGTTGAAATTTTGTTGTTGCTTTTTACTACTATGAGATATTGGTTAACTATGGTCGATAAAAATCAGGTGAGTATAAGATACGCTTTTGGGGATAAAATTAAGATAATCTAAAAGAATTAAAATTAAAATTTACTTATTTTATAAGAATTTAAAATAGTAATTTATAAGTTAAAAAAAATTACAAAATTTAATATTAAAATATATTAAGTTATAGGACTGAAAGTTATAGAACTGAAATTAATCTAAACTTTATTATTGATTATTTTTTAAAATAAAAACATTTCAATAATAAGTTTATTAAGATTAATTATATTCTTATAATGGATTATGGTAATCTTATTTTAACTTGGATGAAACACTGATGTTTCTAGTAATTCTTAATATTTGACATACGAAATTGATTGAAAAAAAAAGGTAGACTAATTGATCAAGTGGAATGAAAATATTAGTAATTTATTACACAGTAGAAATATCTTTCACAAACTTTGAGGCTTGTGCCTTGTTTGTTTCAAGATCGTCCGTGATTTGAGAAGTACCTTTCTGGATCATGGAAAGTAGCGCCGAATACACAATTTTGAAGAGAAAGGCCAATTCGATCTTCTTCACACAAGAATAAATTTTTATTTTTTTATACTTCTTTAAAAATTATTTGTGTTTTATTTTTTTATTTTTGAATTGATAAATTTAATTGTATAAAATAAAATATTTTAATAATTTTAGACATTCATGTTTAACATTTAATAATAGTTTATGATCATTATAACAAAATTATTTAACAAAATTAACAAATAATTAAATTTATATATTTTTTTAATTTACAAACTAGTTAATCAATTTTTAATATTTATTTCTTTTTAAATATGTCAAATCTATTATAATTTTCACTTATTTCCATTCAATTTCCTTTTTTCTTTTTTCACTTTCTTATCTTCCATTATTATCATTTAAAAATTGCATAGTAATCTCCATAACAATGTCACTTTCTGAAACCACCAAACCCACTAACATATGAAAATGGGTTTTCTATTGCCATTGCTATTCCATGATTGCTTAGCACTTTGTATATTTGTTTGACAGAGAAATATGCACCATAGATGTTGTTCGCATTCATTTTACTTTCAAAAGAAAAAGAAAATGATCTTCTAGAATTAACTAAGAGATAAGAAAAACCTTGTCATGTGAACGAGTTCTTATGAAAATATTTGAAAGGTGTTTTAGTTTTGTTTAAATTACTAGTTAAGAAAATTATATAATGGAATGCATAAACACATTTCTATGATTTTTTTTAGTATATTTTTATATAATTTTAATAAAAAAATAGACTAACTACCTATTGGTATACGAGAAAATTAACTGGATATCAAATAAAAACATCAAATATTTTTTAGGTGTTAATAAAAAAAATATTACGTACAAAAATTAATTAGTTAAGCATAAAAATAAGTCTTTTAAAATACATTTAGCCTGAAAGTATAAAATTCTCAATTTGCGCTGAAAAAAAATAAAAAATTTAATTTAAATAATTTTAAAAATAACATTATTATGAAGATGTCTCAAAAATAAGATTATTTTATAAAAAAAAAAACACAGTTTATTGTATTAAATGATAACTGATCCAAGACTATGTACTAAATTATTTTTTAGATTTTTATTTAAAATATTTACGTATATTATATACAAAGAAAGTAAATGGTATGTAAAGTTTTTTTCTTTTCACTATCTAAAAATATAAAGTCTTGTTTATACTCTATATATGTTTTGATATATGTGATATGTAAATAATATTTTTGTTTAATAAATAATTAATTTTCTTGTAGTTCTTATCTTTATTTCTATATTAGTGCAAATCCAAAAAATGATATTGTAAGTGGGAACAAGAAAGAAAGTTATGAAAATTTGAAAGATGATCATTAAGTTTGATGTAGAGATAACGATTTTAGGTTCTGAAAACTATCTGAAGGTTGTATTTGAAACCATAACAATGAAAAAATAAATATGTCACCTTTTTTTTAAAAGGAGAAGAATAACTAGAACACTTTAACAGCATTCTGGATGTCTCAAATTTCAAGAGAAAAAGAAGGACCCTACTAATCTTTATATTTAATTTCTATTGTGATTTTTAATATATTCAATTTCTATTGTGATTTTTTCATTTATATATAATGGTTGGAGCACCTCGTAGTTTCTTTAAAAAACTTTGTAAAAAAACATCATTTTGCACAATTGAAAAGAATAATGTTTTATTCAGAATTTGTATAAAGTATCAAAGATTGTAAAGCATGAAAATCATCATCATCTTATGTTATGTATTTTATTTTTTTTAACTTTTGTTATTTGGTTACAATTGTACTCTTATCTTATAATAGTGTGAACTATAATAAATTACAATAACATTACTTAAAGTTTTGTACAAATATTCCTTTTTTTATATTGGTAATGTCCTTAACATTTGTGACCTGGTTATGGTTGCATTTTCTTTTGCAAATAATGTTAACTTCGTTTACTATTACATCATTATGATTTATACTTGATTTTTAATGAAATTTTTAATACAGAGAAAACGTCATTATCACCTTTGTTAAACACTCATATCCTTGCAAATTATTTTGACTTTTGATGTTTTGGATGGATATCCAGAGTATTCTCTCCATCCTTGTGTGTTTTTATTCACAACTTATTTTCTCCATTTGTAGTAGATGTTTTTTTATGAGATTTCTTGTTAACATTATTTTAGATTGTGTTAATGGTGTTTTTCTTTTAGAATTTATTATGCATTTTTAAACAATGTTTTGTAATAATCATTTGTGGCCTTTATTTGATATTCCAACAAAGGAGATACAAAAGTGTCTGGTTTTAATTTTGCGTCTAATGTTTTTAAAACGTAGAAATATTTGTGCAATAGTTTAGATATTTTATTTTGAGGAAAGAAATAGTGAGGAAGAAAATAGAGAAGAAATATATTAAGAAAAAAATAAACATGTAAGAAAAAAATTGAATGCTTAGTTATTTGGTAAAGTATAAATAAATGTAAATGCTCTCTTTGATAGAGAGGAAAAAATAGATGGGGTAGAAAAGAAAGAAATGGAATGAGATGTTCTTAGAAAAAATGAATTAAAAGATAAATTAAATTATTTATTATTAATAATTCAATTTATTATATATATATATATATATATATATATATATATATATATTAATAATAGTTGTTGTTATAATAAAAAAAAATGATAGAAGCATTAAATTCAACCCCACTAAATATAGGTGACCTATTAATACAAATGTAGAAAATAATTTGTTCTCCATTTCGAAAATCTTAGATTAACTTTCAAGAACCTTATCCTTGGTACTTATTGTTAGAAATGCGAGTTAAGATTAAAAAAAAAGGGATAAATTGAACTAAAAATTTTGCAATTGAATGAACAATTTTTATTTTATTTTTAAAAAATCAAGATAATGTTAATGTTATTTCTGTACCAACCTTGATGACCCTATTAGAAGTAGACAATGATGAACCTAAACTAAGTTTAATTATCACTTCCGTCATCAAATTAAAGGTTGTTGAAAACATTGAATCCTCACAATCTTTAATAATATCCATGTCATCAACATGTGCAAATATGACTTGTGGAGAATATCACATATATACTTAACAATTTTCGAGATAGTTTTTTATTAGACTCATATGAGACTATTTTTTTAATTTTTTTAAGAAATTCACTTCATTTTCTTTTTTGTGTTGTTACACTTGTTTTATTTTTTAAAATATGTTTTTGCTATTTTTTATACAAAATAGAATTATCGGCCACCAAAAAGTTTCTAAATGAAAGAAAACAATAAAATCATCATCAATATTTATTTTAAGAAAAATATTGAAAAAAATAAAATAAAAAAAATCTGTAAAATAAAAGTTGGATCTGAAAGTCGATTGTGTATATGAAAAGTATTAACACCTATAATATCTAAAAACGATTACCTTTAATTAAAAGTGAATGGTTAAATATATTAAAATTATTTATTTTTATCCCTCAAACTTATATATCTATTAAATATTGCTATTAAAATAACATATTATATATTTTTATATTTTTTGTTTGACAGAGATTATTTTCCTGCTCCTACCTATCTCTGGTGTAATAGAGAATCAAAGTAAATATAGTTTTTCTTAAAAATATTTATGAATAATTTATTTTAATTTATTATATGTGTTACTAAGTTAAATGTATGTCTGAAATTATTTTAAAATTGAATAATTATATAATAATCAAATTAAAGTACATCTAAAATGATTATCATTTTTATAATTTGAGTAAGAATTAAATCAGAAATACATTCAAAATAATTTAAATGTTTAAATTATTATACTTGTCATTTCTATTTGAATTTAAAAAATATATATATTTTAAAATATTTTATTATAATCAAGTCAAAAATATATTTAAAATGATTATTATAATTTTATAGTAATCAAATTTCACGTGCATCCCAAATGATTAAACTTTTATAAAATATTTTCTTACTATTCTAATAATAATAATACTAAAAAAAATGATAATTATTAAAATTTAATTGTCAATATACTAATAATGATATACTAATTTAAATCATTTAAAAAACATAAAATCATTTTTATTTGAAATTTGGACACAAGAACAGTAATAATAATATTTATAAATTTTCTAATTCATTATTATTTATAACTTATTTTTTTTATGTTGTATAGTTAAAAAAAAATTAGACTTAATAACTTATATAAATAAAAAAATTCTTTCAAATTTATTTACTATTTAAAATCTTTTTTTTTTTTTGCACCCCTCAATTCAAATAGAATCTTTTTTTTTTAGACCATCGGTCCAAAAATCTTCTACCCATATGTTAGGCTCAAGATTAATTCGTTTCACTATAAGTTTATTTTTACTATTTTCACCCCTAAACAAATTTGGGCCACGCATCTCTTAAACCACTCCTTCTCAGCCCATGTCCCATTTGAGCTCGTATCTTGACCTAACCCTAATAGTGGGGTCGTGAGGGATGAGACTGAGTGGCTAGCGGTGGGGTTCATGGTGGCGGCGTGAGTTATGATGGCCCGTGATGGAGGAGTGAGGGGACGCGCGACTTCGAGGCAAGGAGATCGATTGGGGGTTTCGCGGAGGTGAGGTTTAGGTGAGGCGGTGAGGGAGTGGTTAGAGTTGGGAAGTGGCTCGCGGTGGTTCGCAACGGGGGAGGGGAGATGGGGATGGGTCTCTGTGGAGGTGGAGTAGGCATGACTGGGGTGACTTTTGAGGGTGACGTTTAGGGTTAGGTTCATAATGGTCAGTGATGGTGCAGTGATGAGGAGAGCGAATGAGCTTAAAATGTGATGTGGTGATGAGGAGAGCGAATGAGCTTAAAAATGGGATGGTCGGATTTGGATGCGGGTGAAGGTGAAGGTTATGGTGGAGGTGTGGCAAGCTCAGTGACCGCCGGTAGCAAAAATAAACATATTTTATTTTTATTTAAACTGTATAAAACCTGTGGAATAAGTGATTGGAGTAGTTGATTAGAGTCTCATACATCAAGAGCAATAATTGATTAGAGTCTCAACATCAAGGGCAATGAGGAACAAATACAACCAATCAATTAACACGCTACACTACATAAACACATAAACACGCATTCTATGATGAATGATGGTGGGTTCTATGATGGATGGTGGTAGTGGCTAGTAGAAGTGGCTGGACCTAGTGGCTAGCAGAGGTACTGGAGTTGGGTTGTGTTAGTGGCTAGTAGAGGTATTGGAGCAGGGTTGTATTGGTGGCTAGCAGAGGTGGCTGGAGCAGGGTTGTGTTGGTGGCAAGTAGAGGTGGCTGGAGCTGGTGGCTAGCAGAGGTGCTAGAGCAGGGTTGTATTGGTAGCTAGTTGATGTGGCTAGAAGAGTTGCTGAAGCAGGGTTGTGTTGATGGCTAGCGGAGGTGTTGGTCATTAGCAAAGTGTTAAACAAATGGGTTAATAGATACATAAATTAAAATAGATGTCAAATTAAAAATTTAGTTGTGAGTCAATAATTTGTTAAAACGAAAATAATAATATAATCAGAAAAGGAGAAAGAGATAAGGGAAAGAGAAGAGCACACAGATATTTATACTGGTTCGGGTATAGTTAACCCTACATCCAATTCTCAGTCAACTCTTAACACAAGAGTGACTCCCCATTCACTATCTTTCAAATTCAGTTTACAAATTACAATCAACTCAGAAGAAGAACCAGTAAAAGTAAACTAATTAAAAAAACAATCACCTCCTTAGAAATCCACTAAGGATGAACACCTCCCTAAAATCCTACTAGGGATGAACATCTTGTAACATCTAGTATTTCCCAAAAATATTTCATTAATATAATAAAATAATTTGTCATTAACTTTAATAAAATGGTATTATGAGTTATTTTAAGACTTGATAATTTTTAAAGATATTAATAAATAATACATATATATATATATATATATATATATATATATTATAAAATTTGTAATAGAGTGAAATAGATAAATTTAGAATTGAGTTTAAAATGAAGTAATAATAATAATAAGAGTAATATCATTAAACAAAATTAGTAATATGATTTCCCATTGATGAAATGATTTAATTGGTAAGTGAAAAAGTAAGTGAGAGTAATTTTGGAAAGGAGTTTAAATTTAAAGAAAAGAAAGACCAATTTTCTTTCTCACTTACGAAAGCCATTTTGGGAGCACGGGAGGAAGAAGAGAAGCTTGATTTTGCTTGCCCACACCATCTTGGTTCATCCTTTTTGCAATTAAGAGTAAGATCCATAAAATTAAAGCATTGGATTTCAATATTATCTCTTAAAATCTTCTTAATCTCAAATATATGGTCATTTTCATGCTTATAGGAGACAAACTTTTCTTGAACTAAGGATCTCTATTTTCTTGTTTGAAAGCTTCATTTGAGGTAAGGAGAGTCTTCTTGTCATCAACCCTAGGCTAAACCATCATTTATCTCACTTCTACATTAATTGGAACCAAATTAAAATGTTTTATAAAAATTTTGTATGGTTATTCTAGTATATTTAGATACTCTACAATGCTCCTTTCATATTTTAGAGTTTAGAAATGGATTCCTTGGATGTTAAAACCTAGAGTTAGCCATAAAAATCACTTAAATTGGATTTTTCTAGAGGAAGATGATGAAATATGTGTTGAGAGATGTTGTTGGACAAAAATCTGTATGTGAATTGAATCTTTGGGAAATTATGTAAAAATATTTACTTGGTATTTAATTCTGAAATTTTGATTACATGTTCCTTTATATGTCTATTTCGTGTGTGATTTATTTCAAAATTTTCTGACCAGTGAATTTTCGATGAAAAATCTTGGAAGTAAATAGGTTTTGAGTTGGGTGAAACAAAATTGTTATGTCCGCTCAGCAACTTTGAAAAATCATATAAAATTGAAATTATAGTTTTTTTTAGATGAAATTTTTATCATAGTTGTGATTGTAGATATATGTTAAGCATATTTATTTTCATAATTTTATGAGCATTAATTTATTTTATAAAAATATATCTTTGAGTAATGCTCTGATAGTGGAATCTTCAAAATGTATAAAAAGGGAGGAAAGTTTTGAATGATTTAGAAATCTTTAAACTTTGAGTTATAATTTTTATTATAATCCTAGAATATATGTATTTTGGACTGGAAAATTTCATAGAATTTGGAGTTAGTTTAAATGGCAAAGAATTTTTCCAAAGTTACACTTTTCTAATGCTTATGATAAACTTTTCTTCCTAGAGAAGTATAAACAAAACTTTAGTTCTGTACCTATTATTTATTTTATGAGTATGTATGATGTGAGAATGATAGTGTAATGAGATATTTTGGGACACAAGATTAGAATAACAAGAGTTTAGAAAATTTGATGGATCGCAATGTGTGCTGAGTCCGAGAGTGTCCGACTCTCGGCAAATTTTTATTGTTCTTGTTTGATGCAGAAAAATGTGTTTATAAATTTGATTTGAATGTATTTGTAAATTGGGAAATGTCTAAACTACAAAGGAGACTCTGTCAAATTTTTGAAATTGATGAAAAATAAATAAAGCTTAATAAGAATGATATAAAGAAACGTTATGAATAGTTAATGCATTCATAATCATGGTAGTTAGTGGAAATCATGTCTATAAGCTATTTGTACTATGTGTTGAGTCTAAGTCAGAGATGTTGGTCATCTAAAAATAGGGTATTATATCTATAGTGATATGGTCTGTATGATGTAGAGTTTGTTCCTACCAAATATATTGTTGTTAAAGAGTTGGTGGTGTCACTCAGTGACGAGATATGTGTGTGGATGGTACGGAGATACACCGGGGGCTTAGGAAATAAGAGAAGATCAGATTGATCTTGGGGAAATATAGAGTGCATTGTTTGGCCACGCTCTATACTCCCGACTTGACTCTTTGACTTTGTCTTTTTGCCAAGGGATCGTTATGCGTAAGCATTGTATATGTGATGCGCAGATCAACCGGCAACTATCTATACTTCTATGAGCCATTTATGCTCGTGTGTAATTTTGTTATGCTTGTGAGAGTTGTCTGTACTTATGTGTGATCCTTTCATGGATTGAAAGATGGGATTGATAGTGTATCCTAGGTGCATGAGCATTTCAAATGTGGCAAAAATGAACGAATGAAACACAAACATGTATTGTGTGTTTTTAGTTTGAGTAATGTGATTTGTGGAAATTGTTTGAAATTTTTGTGTGGGATACTTTATTGAAAAAAAATGAAATGTTTGACTATAAATGTTACATATGGTTTTAGATTGTAGAGGTTGGAAAAATTTTCGGTTTAGTGTTCTGGAGTGATGAGAAAAGGAAACTCATCCTTACTGTTATATTTCAGGTAATGATGGAACAATTGTGGTGGAGGAACCACAGTTTGATTGAGTATCATATACATATGTATGGAAGAATGCTGCCCTCCGGGAGGGGTATGATCTTGTATAAGAAAGTTAGGAATTTTGGGTACCTGCTCTGATTAGGATTTGCTTTATTTTGAGATGTATAAATTTAAAATTAAGTTCTAATCGTTTAAGGGTACAAACTTTATGTAATTATAGTATGATCTTTGTTGGATTAGTTATTTTGAAAAACAATGTATTATGATTATGGATGTATATGTATGAATATATTCGACACATCTATATATATTCATTAACGCATGATCAGTTTTAAAGTTCATTGTCATAAAGAAATAATATTGTAAAAAAAATTATTCCCATTTTTTAGAAATTAAATAAATTAGAAAAAAAAATGACGTTACAATTAGGTGGTATCGGAGCAGTTTAGTCCATATCGGACTAGGGGTATGGGATTAGTATGCTTTTGCTTGTGTGACTTAGTATTTTTGTTAAATCAATAGTATAAATAATTGATTGGTGTGATGACATATTTAATAATTTAAATAGGGATTTGTTTGAATCAATTAAGTTTGATAGTATAAATATGTGTGATCAGTAGGAAAGATAACTGAAAATGATAATAAATATAATAGTGATGATAATGTAATTTCTTGTGGAACTAAATATTTTGGTTTTAGAGAATCATGATTAGTAGATCTATTGGAACGACAAAGGAACTTCTTGCTCGTATGACTCAAGTATTAGAGGCATTAGTACATGACCGTGGGGCAGAACCCGTTGAGTATCTTGGACTATCTGCATTCACCAAGCATAATCCACCAGGGTTTGAGGGAAGGTTTAATCCGGAAGGAGTGCAAAGATGGATAGGCTGACATTGAGAAAATTTTTACTGCAATGGGTTGTCAAGAGGAACATAGGGTGGTCTATGCTACTTACATGTTGTGCGGAGAAGTCGAAGATTGGTGGAGATTTGCCGAGTCAAACCTTGCCCGGGAATGGTGAATATGTGGAATGGGAAGTATTCAAAGCAAGTTTCTTAGGAAATTATTTCCCTAGAGACCTAAAGAAGCGAAGGCTCGAGAATTCTTAGAATTGAAGCAAGTAAGTATGACAGTGGGAGAGTATGCTGCTAGATTTCATGAACTAATGAAGTACTGGCCACATTATCAACATGAAGGTGGAGGTGAAGATCTCTGTGCACAATTTGAGAATGGTCTTCGATCTGACATTCGCACTGCAGTAAGCGTATTCCAACTTACTGATTTACCAACCTTGGTCAGCAAGTGTAGAATCTATGAGGCAAGTGTTAAGGGGAAGGTTGTAGATATTAGGATGGGAGGACCTATTCGACACGACAAGAGGCCGCCACAGTTTCAGAAAGGACCGTACCAAAGACC